TATAAGGGAGGTAGGTTGATTTGGACGGAAAGGATTAATTGTTTAATTTAGAAAAAAAAAAGAAAAGAAAAAGAAAAAGAAAAAAGAAGAAGAATCAATTCCAATTGGAACAGTGGGTAGGGAGGAATGGAGGGCAGGGGACTAGAATCGGTGTAGAACGATGGACGAAAGGGGAAATCGCCATGCATACTTACACTATTTCCCAGGTGGACCAGCACACAATCCCCTCGCTGCACATCATGGGCCTTCAATCCTGCAATCAATGTGCGAACCAGGGTCTCAAACTGCCGCGCATTGAAAGACTGCGAAGGATTTTCAGCATCGATCAACAATGGACGCTCGCGGTCGTAGTGGTAGGGGCTGCGGAAAGCAAAGGTCAACAAGTCGGTGTATGGGTGCTGGCCCAGATTGGGGTACGCCAAGGACGACTCCCAGAGACCCATCGCGTCGGAATGCAATTGACAAAGGAGTTTCGGTCAGGGCAAGCAGGCAAGCAAGCAGGCACGGCAAGTGGGCACAGAGGGACCGGCTGGGGCAGTGTGGTCGGAGAGAGAATAAGTAGTATGTCAATAGCTGAGACTATTAAGCGCAGGAGGGAGGAGAATAGATGATGATGATGGTGATGATGATGATGATGATGATGATGATGATACACGAGAATAGTGAGAGAAATTCACCCCGACCACGGGAGATTCAGGGCGATAAATAGAATCTCCATGGTGTTCAACCAATATGCTTTTTGTCATGCTGGCGGGTTTCAGAAAAAGTGAAAGGGTTGACAATTTGCGGTGTCTCGAAGAACAATTCCAATTTCCTGGGTCTTGGTGTGAGGTGAATGGGGGGAATTTGGTGATTTGGAATTTGGAATACTTACTACTCTAGTTAGGGCAGAGTGGCTCAGTGGCGCTTCCTTTCCCCCTCAAATCCCGACACATCGACACCGAGTTTCCGCTAAGATCGGATTGCTGATCCTCTTTCCGGGCCCACGGACGGATCAGACTTTTGCGCTTAGACTGCTCACTGCTAGTGAGTAGCTAGCTAGGCTGCTAGTCTATCAGCTGCTAGCATGTCAATGTCAATTCAGATCGCGGCCATGTGGGTCCCTCGCTCATCTCTTATCCTCGAGAGAATGCACTTCAACCACTTCACTGGCGAACATCTCCCCGTCATGCCGACGAATCAGGTCCATGATCAACTCCATTCTCCATAACTTAAACCAATATTGAGCCATCTCTCCATGGGACTTGATCTGAACCATGTCGGCAGCGCACTCTGATTGGTACTTCGTCCTGTCAATCAAGCCCCATCGTTTCTCTTCAGGTGCTCCCTCTGCAGCTGAACCCCCGGTTGGATCTGCCGTCCTGGGAACGCATCCCCCCCTCCCCGAACTACTCCCACGGTTTCCGGAGGCTTGGTCCTGGCCCTGCTGAATTAGCCCGTCATCTGGCGCGCTCGACCATGCGCCCAGTATGCCGACGCGACCCCACTGCTCTAGTCACCCATGCCACGCTGACGTCTTTTTAACGAGATCCCAGAAAACCGCGCATGACAAGCCATTACATGCTAGACTTGACTATCTTGGATGAAGGCCCGAAAGAGGCAGTACCCCGCCCGCTAATCGAGCAGGGGCAGTGGGTGGCCATGCCACCAAGTGCCTCGTCGGGATCTCCTTGCCCATGTATCTGAGCGCGCTAGTTCATCAGGATGGAGACTCAGGTGGCCCTGCCGGGGCCACTCTATCATTGATCGACCTCACTCTGAACTGGCCAAACGAAGGAAAAGCAAGGAATCTGCGCCTGCTGCATGGACCACGATACGCTTGCCGAGCTTGTCGGGTCATGCAACTCCACAGACCCTGTCCACTTCCAGGGCACGGATTGTCCGCTTATCGATGCAACCCTCTTCGTCTTTAGGCGTGGATCGGTGGAGAACGCGAATCTTGGTGGCAAGCCCTCTGGCGCCTGAGTCCAAGACATCAGTGCTAGTGTCGATCAGGTAACCCTGGCCGGCCTGCCGGAGCCACTGAACGTGCTCATGCTAGTGCATCCGCATCTCTAGACCGTTCCATCAAGTCGTCATTGTTGCTGGAATCATCGACCACGGCACGGGGACGGGATATTCGCTCGTGGACGAGCCATCCATTGGCCCTTCGACTTCCACATTCGGAGAATGAACAGCTGAGGAGTGGCAGGATTGACACCATTCTCCAATGTTATAAATCCATCTTGGATCTAGGATACGGAACAGCTTCCCCTTCAAATAGCGTCGGCATAACGGAGGCTGAAATCACGATATCGAGGCGAAAGGCGAAGCTGAGATGCCGAGGTGGTCCGCATGCGGTATGATGAAAGGTGCTGAAGACAAAGAGACCGTGGTCTGTAGCCGAGATATTGTCCGATGTTCGATGTGAGCCCACCCTGAGGGAAACAGCCAGGCTGCATCAAGGTCAGATGTCGTCATGCATGAGGATTCAAAAGACGTCTGTACCCGTCGTGGTGAGATGCAGGTTGATGGTGGATCACACTCATGCGCCCATTGGGACCAATCGAGTCATTGTCGTTACTGCTTGCAGCTTCCTTTCCCCATCTTGCACCTGGCGCTTCGTTCCTGAAGATTACATGCGTCTGCCCCTCGATCTTACTCTTGATATCTTCTTGTCAACCTTCATTCTCATCTCCAGGACCAACTCGAAGCAACATGTCGAGTGAGGTGAAGAGCACAATAACGGTACCACCGGCAGTGGTATATGCATCAGGTCCGCAGAGTCCCACGTCATCGACATTCACAGAAGACTCCACCATAAAGGTCTTCGCAGAGAAAGTGGAAGCGTCCCGATATCGTGACTCGGAAGATGGATCTCTTGACCTCGAAGCTCAAGCCCCAAAGAAGCGCAGATTCGCTGCGATTCGGTTCATATTCCTTAACATATACCGTCGCCTGTTCACCTTGGTCTTCTTAGCCAATGTAGCTGTGTTCGTTGCAGTCATGGCGACGGATCGAAAGTTACTAGCATTGGTAAATGCGGCAGCAGGTAACCTGCTTGCATGCGGCCTCGCACGGCAGCCCTTGGTGGTGAATTCGATCTTTGTTGTCGTGGCATCCATCCCGAGGTCAGCGCCTCTCCGGATACGACGCATCGCAGCCAAGGTATACCACTATGGTGGCGTCCACAGCGGGTGCGGGACAGCCTCATTCGTCTGGTATGCCGGCTTTGTTGGCCTCCTATCACGGGAATACTGGTCTCCCTCCCCATCCTCCGCATCAGGCGGGTCAACCATCTCCGTGGCCCCCGTGATCCTGGCATACTTGATCTTGGTCGTGCTGCTCGCCATCATCGTCGTGGCCTACCCGCGATTCCGCATCAAGAAGCACGATTACTTCGAGCTCATCCACCGGTTCTCCGGCTGGCTGGTGGTGGTGCTCTTCGTGATCCTGCTGATGGTGTTCGCGAACGAGGTCAGCCGCGCGTCGAACGAGCCGCTGGGACTCTTCCTGGTGAGACTCCCCGCCTTCTGGTTCCTGGTGCTCACGGTCGTGGCCATCGTGCACCCGTGGGTGCTCCTCCGCAAGGTCGCGGTGCAGCCGGAGACCCTCTCCTCGCATGCCGTGCGGCTGCATCTCAGCCACACGACCACCACCTTCGGCAAGGGCATCCAGCTGGCGCGACACCCGCTGCGGGACTGGCACGGGTTCGCGACGTTCCCGAACCCGGACGGCGGGCGGAGCTTCTCCTGCCTGGTGTCCAAGGCGGGCGACTGGACGGCCGCCTGCATCCAGGACCCGCCCACGCACCTGTGGAAGCGCGGCGTTCTCCTGTATGGGTTCGCGTACGCGATGCGCGTCTTCACGCGCGTGGTCGTCGTCACCACGGGCTCGGGCATCGGCCCCTGCTTGTCCTTCCTCGGGGACGACAACCGCCCCGCGCTCCGCGTGGTCTGGCAGACGCGGGCCCCGCTGAAGACATACGGGCAGCGGGTGCTGGATCTGGTCTCGGTGATGGACCCCCACCCCGTGGTGGTCGACACGAATCAGTCCGGGCGCGTCGATATGGTCCCGATGATCCGGCGGATTGTGCAGGACTTCGATGCCGAGGCTGTCTGTGTGATCAGTAACCCCGTGTTCACCAAGAAGGTGGTATATGAATTGGAATCCAAGGGCATCCCGGCGTTCGGGCCCATCTTCGACTCGTGACCGACCAAGTGTGGTCTTTTTGTCTGTTTATATACTAGCGAGCAAGGTGTTGTGATTGATCGAAGCAGGCGTTGGGGGTTCTTTGGAGTTTTCATTTGAGATTGTCATGGTGTCAGAAGCCAGGGGGCTAGAAGAGGGAAATTCTTCAGACGAAGTCAAGCCATGTGGAATGCTTCGTCACTGTATATAGTATTAGGATAGTTAAGAGAGACAGTTTATGAAGTGATGCCGTTGGCCTTGATTATGGGGGGGAGACGGGCATTGTATGCAAACATTCCAAAGATCAGCGCGGTGTTTCATGTGCCTGTCCGGCCTGCAGGGATTCCATGTAGCAGTCCGCTGGGTACTTGCAGTACGTTCCCATATTATTAGATTTTAGTACGACAATCACTTCAGTCCCAGCCTGGGTGTTTACCATCACAGACCGGAATAGTCTCCTGGCCCAAGGGGTCAGAATTCAGCTGGCCGCTTTTTAGAGCCGGAGTTCAAGACCAATTTTGCAACCAGCCTACTATGCAAGGTAATCTTCGGGCAACTAGGTAATTTACCATCCTACGTTTACTTTGATTTACAGGATTTGCTCTAGCCCGGAACATTATGATAAATAGATTTGAATATTCAATTTGTTCATTCATAAACGTTATGTGTAGATAAATTCACCATAGCGACAAAGTGTATGTACCTGGGTATGTATGATGCCAGTAACAGAAATAGACAAATGAAAATGTTCAGACTTGACGAAAATAATGGGTATCATGCAAGCACAGAAATCACCCAGCAATACAGAATCTCTATCAGCAGACTTTTTTGTGTTCTCCTCCATGGTATGAAACAATTAGGAATTAGGGGAAAGGTAGTGAGAGCTTGGACTTCCAATTTTCGCGGAACTGTTGAGAGTGCATGAGAACAAGGACGTCCTCGGGGGGGTGAAAATCGTTGAATTCGTAGCAGTCATAAATTCATGAAGGGCGGTGTTCGAGGTACACCAATGTTGAAGTTGTATGTGTAAGAATTGTGCGAAGCAATGGCATCAGCCAACGCTCAAGGCTCAGTGGCAGAGGTAGCTCGGTTTGTCGTTTCAAAACTCAATGGCTCAGCCGAGAAATCATCAGGTGTAAGGCGTGATCGTCCCCTGGTTGAAGAAGAATGTGTGGAGTCGCTATCCAAGCGCAGAGATTCCATGCGGTCCAGTTCTTCATACTCCGGAAGGTGCAAGGGAGATCCATGGTAGTCTTCCATGATGCTGCTTCCATCCAGCATGGTGTAACCGGGGGGGCTGGCAGGAACATCCTCGTAGACTGGTGGCATCTCCTCGTCCCAACTGATACCCAGCCCGCTGCGTTCCGTAACGTGCAAGTGGAACTGCATCCGCAGAACACGCGCTGCTCCAGTCGGGGTGATGAGTCTCGTGTTGCGGTTGGGGCAGAACTCTTCGGCGACGATCAGTTCAATGACAAGATTATGACGAGCTTCCAGGCCACCCGAAGCCTCGAGATCGCACACTGGGTTGCAAGATGGGTTGATGCTGGCTTCGAATTGCATGCTGATTTCACCGCCGGCGGTATCAAAATCTGTCTTCCAGCCATCCTTCTCTTCGTTGTGACCGATGATGCGGGTCTCCTGGTGGAGGACACCCTTGCCTTCGCCTCCGATCTTGTGTGCATGCTTGGGGCAGGCTGCAGAGACGATCTTCTGGTGTTCCTCAATCCGCCACATCATTTTACGCAGGCGCCAGCGAGTTTGAGTTTCTTCGCCTTTATCCACCACTCCGCTCAGAGTCATTTGCACGGGGAAGGTACCGATTGGGTGAACGACGGATGGAAGGACGATGCGACCGGTAAGATTGGTAGGAGGGAAGATACGGATGGAGGACTTGTCGTTGCCGGGAAGAATGGCACGCTTGATGTGCAGAGGCATCTTGTAGGTGAACTCCTCTCCGTTGATACTGTGAGCACGCGCAGAGAGAAAATATTCGATCTGACCCAACGAGCCGTTGCACGAGGCGGGCAGATGGCCGGGGACTAGGTAGCTGAACGGAAACTCGTGGTCACCACTCTTAAGGGTGAGGGGCTCGGTGAGGAAATTCCAGTGTGTCAGCTCCTCAGTTCGCGAGGCACAGTTGGCGCAGTCTCTAGAAACCGGTTTCTTGGTCGTTTGTCTGCTCATGAGACGCATATCGAAGGTGTCAAGCGTGATCATGCCGGCTAATTCAGAGATGCTGATCTTCAGGCGTCCGGAAAACAAGGCGCCGGTTGAGTTGGCGGGATTCCCGTAACAGACGAGCGGCGGGGATTCAACGATGACATCGAGCTTCGCCGAGGCGTGGGCGCTGGGATCATGAGCGGCACGCTCCTTTGAACGAGCTGAGCGGCCATGGCTCCGTCGCTTCTCTTTGCTGTGATCACGGTGAGGATGGATCAGATGCTCCATCGCCAACGATAGCCGACGTTCGGGTGAGCGAGCTCGGTCAGCGGACAGAAGGGTGGATGGCTTCTTTGACGCCATAGTTGTGTTCGGGATCTCGTTCACGGACGAAGAAGACGAAGTGTTCGAGTGCGAAACGGATGAATGGTGGGATGAGTGGTGGGAGAGGGAAGGGCGGACAAAGCTGGAAAGTAGACGACCAGGCATGGTGGCGAGTTTCTCAGGGTGATGTGGATGCGCTGGGTTGGAACCTTGGTAGCTAAGTATAGTAACAGTGTCGAGTGCACCGAAGATGGAATGTGTTGCTCAGGGAGCAATGGATGTCAGGTATTGACGGTCCACGATGCAATATGACCAGACTGGCAGTGGCAGACTAGTGTATGTATGTGAAGGGGTCTCAATATCACGGCGCAATTGGGAAGGTTGAGTTGATTGTCAAGTACATAATCTCCTTGCGATTGAAATTGAATCTTGTACCTATAAGAAAGAACTTTTGACTACAGTCAAGAGTTCAAGTTCCTTTGAGAAACGGTGGTGAGGGGTAGAGGTAGTAGATAAAATGTACACGAGTAGTGGAGAGTTTTGATCGTGTTGTGATGGTGGTGGTAGGTAGCTTGTAGTGGTCTATATCTGAGTAACCGAAGAAGAAGATGAAGTGAATCTAGTAGGCTATCAAGCAAAACAGAGGAATGGCAAGAAGAGGTGGGAGAGTAGCTGCCTTTGAATGAAGCAGGACAAGCTCTATGTTTTATTCTTTGCAACCCAGATATACTCTACCCCTCCAAAGGACTCATTTTCCTTTTTTTCCTTTTCCTATTGTTGTAACTTTTTTTTTTTTTCTCTTCTTCTCCTTTTTTCATTTTTTTTAGCGTGGTGGTTGTTTCTAGGGCGTTCCCACACCATGTAACAGGTACGATTGATTCCCTGGTCTGGCCACCCTGAATGTCTCCATCGCATCGGGCGGCCGATGGAGTTTTGGTGGGGCACGGCAGAAAAAGCGTCATAGTGGACTTTACATTACCATTTCCATACATGACCGTACGGCTGTCTCCGACGGAAAGCGCCAAAAGTCTTGCTCGCCCTGCCATTCAATTCCCCTACAGGTACAGTACCTGTCCGTTGCACCAATAATTCCCCGAGGGCAACTGCAGTGACTGTCTTCAACCTCCATGTTTTCACACCGCGATTTGTTTGGCCGTCTTTTGACTTTTTTCTTCTCTACAAAACCATCATAGCTTAGCTAAAGTAACTTGCGTGATGGTTTCGGACGACTGTGGGCACATGCTCATTCTAGAACAACCAGTGACCAATCAATGATTCTATCTGCAGCTTGTACTGCGTAATCGATGAAATAATTGCCTTAGTCAGGTGTGGTTGAATTGAGGTTACTCGGAATTGCTTCCCCAGAACTTGAGTATATTCAAGATCGGTCTCAACTTCCAAAGCTCACAGAAACTGAGGGCAAATAATTCTAGCCCCCCTCCAAACATTCTGGATGGCGCGCATCCTGTATTGACTACAATTCCCTGGCAGCATGTGATGAATGCATATCACTCTGCGCTGCGCTATGTACCGGTAAGCAGGTTGTTGATGCCAGAAGAGTGATTGAACCTTCTCCTGCATCAAATGACTTGATGTGTTGTTAAGCAATCTATCCTGGAGTGCACGGAATGTCCTTCCTAGAACGATGCCCTCATCGACGTACAGTACATGAGGGGGGTGGTCAGGCGCAATGACTCACACTAGGGCCGGGCTTGAGACTTTAGCAACGAACAGCTTTCTCCGATGTAGATCATTCAACCCGAATCTCTGTTTGCGCAATTCTGCACGCGCAAGAAACATCATCTTAGCGGGTTACACGCAATCCATGAGATCGGTGGTGATGTAGAATAATGTCAACTGGCTGGAGAATGTTGTCATGTCAATTGTTCCAGAATCGAACCGAGGGTCCAGTATGGAACTGCTGACTCAGGTTCTAGACATCTCCCATCAGGCGTTCTATACTTGGAAGCCAGGAGTGACCACGGTCAGAGACCGGGTCATATCCCCCAATTACCAATGGTGGCTTTGAAACCCCGCGGGTGAGAAGGACGTTAGGTCGACTGGAAGTCTGGAAGTATAGTAGCATCGGGTAAGATCCCGAGGATTGACAACAGAATGACAGATCATTGAGCCAGCCATGTGTGGAATAGTACCGTGAACTAGTACTCCGTATAGATCAACGGCACGGATTATCCGTTCAGCTTGCAGTGGAAGTTACTAGAGCAGTAACATACCTACTTAGTAGTCCGTAATACCGGATCATCACACCTGACGGGCGCTTCCTTTGCTCATCAAGGAAGGTCAGCTGCCGTCATCGAACCATCACGTGGCGTCACAAATTGATGTGCGAGGCCGAGGGGGCTCAAGGCGGTCTGGTCTGATTTGTCCCAATCCTCAATACAGGCGGTGACGACCTGCATCAATCGGCTATACCTTACCGTACAGCAGTCCATTGCAACGCTAATTGGAGATCCCTCTGGATCCAAGTTGCCGCTGTTGCACTTTTGCGCCAAAAAAACAATGGAAGGGCAGAACCAAGGCCTGAAAAGAAGGTAAGCCAGCCCCATCAGACCCAAGCATTGCGTGCACGGATTGGGAATCTTCCCAAAGAAAATTCTTTGCGGACTCTCTTCTCCTCGGGAAGAGCTAAACAGAGTACGGAGTACAATAATGTGTGTGCTGTGTACGAGTACCCCGTTCACTTCAGTCAAAGCTCCACTTGCCGAGAGAAGGGAGAAAAAGAACAAAAAAGGGAAATGAAAAGGGAAGAAAAAAATCAAAAGGATCAAAAGTCAAAAGAGGAGCATGCCCACCAATCCTTGGTTGATGCCCCTTGTCGCAATTCATCATCCCCTACAGTGTACTTGGGACATGTGGACGGATGTTGTGCTGTCGCGCGCAGTCAATATGGTTCAATCCATTCACTTCTCCTCGTAGCTACCGTTTTGGGACAAGTTTCAGACCAGACAATCGAGTCATCGCTGCAGTTAGTGCGCTACGGAGTACGTACTAGAGAAGACCCTTCTGGACATCAGCTCACTCCGAGGACGCATGGTTCTTTTTTTCCCCGCACTGCAGTTTAATTCCGGCCTTTGCGGGGACATTGCATCATCCGGCTATCCTTGCCGGTCAGCGCATCGAACCTCACAAGTATCTATCTAGGAGAGGTTTTGGGTAGGTGAGTTGAGATTGAACGAAGTGCCACTCTCTATCACGATATACAGACCGGTACGTAGCAGATAATATGACATGAGCAAAGCCCACATCAAAGATATAGTTAAGTTCTAGACGCGGTGCACTGTCCTGTTGGCAGGGGGAATTTCACTGTCCCACTGGCGAATGGCCAGCGGCTGCCGCCCTACCCATTACCTAACAGTTTCCTCCTTAGGCTCGCAAGCTCTCCATCGACTGAGCCAACTTCAGGCTTTTACTGCACCCTCAGTGCCTTAACTGAGCACTTTCGGCTTTGAACACCCAAGTTCAACTGTCTTCTTGATCCGATTGATCGTCCCGATTGACAGAATCTCGGCACATGCTGTCGGTCACTGTTACGGGTGGCCGACCTTGATCACGCCATGAATCCATCCATTCTTCCATTCTACCGACTGCGCTTACTCTGCCCCAACATATCAAGGCGTTGAAGATGGAGTGAGTAAGTAAATGGGTTCGTCTCCGCTTCTACCGCACCTTGACTCACGCAACTGATAGTATGTGGAGTAGACATATCTCGTATGTCGATTTAAAGTGGCACCTTCTTACCCCATAGTAACGACCAAACTCACACGCCCAACTCACTTTACTCGGTGCTAAACTGTTTGATATTTGCTTTGATATTCTACCTTGTAGGACCCCTGGCTCTGACTGTGCTTGGGATAGACTCAGAGCCTGCTATTCAGCCACTTTACCGGCCGGTAGTAGGTGGTAACAACCCGGCGCATCAATTACCTACTCCGGAGTAGTTGGCCTAACACTGCGCATACCTCTGGAACTCCTGTTCCGAGCCTCGCTTCCCGCGGGGCCAGGCGTGTCAATGCCTCTTTTGGGGGCGGAATTCGCCGCCCCCTTCGAGCTTCTAGTCCTGGTACCTGATTTAGCATCGAACTCTCAGACAGCTATTGCTCAATTCATGCATCGAATGCAGCCATTTCTCCGGAGTACGGAGTTCTGAATCAAAGCACGCAACTTCAAGCTTGTTTTTAGTTTCAGCACGCTCGCACTCAACATACTGTACGTGCGCTATTTACCTTTCGCCCTGTGAAGCATTCGCGAGTCGTGCAAGAGCTTGGGCCCCATCTCTTTGCAGAATCATAGACGAATACAAGGCACGTTCATCATTTAAGAAGGCATGTTCGTTCATGCTCCCCTTCCATTGGGCGGTTCAACGGCAAACCCCTCCAGGCGCAACCCCTCCAGGCGCAACAGGCGTAAGTGGTTTTACTCGTACTTAGCCGGGCGCCGGACTCCGTGCAATTTTCTCTAGCCGGATCGCTGCCGGTCGGTCGCCTTCGAGTCCACTTCATCGTGATGACTCTTAACACTAGCACTGCTTAGCGCCTCAGACGACTAGAAAAATTTTCTTGCTGGTCTCCATTCTCTTCCAAGGCCCTCAGCGGACCGCCGTCGCCAACCATTGGGGCTCTCTTATTTCAGGTTAGACCACCCGAGAAGATCAAAGGACATCGGCGACTGCCGCGGCGGACAATGAATGCTACCCTTTCCCAAATTCCCACTCGGACCTCTTCTGTCTCCAATCGTTTCCCAGGGAGCGTTCTCGGATTCTGAATTGAGGAGGGTGCGAGGCGCGGAAGATCCATGGAAACCTGTCCGCGGAATCGCGGTGCAACTCTGTGGTAATTGCGGTTCTGGGCTGCCACCAGCGCGGACCGCCGTTCGGGGGCCAATTCTCACAGCCACTGAGTTTTACGGCCCTGAACGTTATTTCAGCCAGTGTGACTAACTTAATTTAACGGCATTATAGGCGCGGATCTTATGATCTCGGTCATGATTGAAGGCCATGGTCATGAAACATACGCCCTGTTTGTTGTATGCGTAGCTACGTAGTGCCAATAGAGGACCCTGCAGGTGAAGAATCACTGCAGAGTCTTAGCGCCCCTTTGAGGGATTTGCAACATTGACGCGTTGCCGGTCCACCAGAGAGTGTGACTACTTTGACCGCCGACAATTCGTATGCGATGGGGCTAACCCTGCAGGCACGTCGCTGACACAGGTTCTAGAATCGACCCTCCGGAGCAGTACCCAAGGCTCTGTTTCTATGGTAGGGTCTACCATACAGTATGAATAAGATGATGGTTTGATCAGTCATCTCAGCTCTCATGTATATCGCTGTCCACTTGATACGAATCTTGGAACCAGGACTTTGGCGCGGTTAGCTTGATTCAGTGCAATGGTAGGTAGACGAGCTTGAAATAGGGGTTCTCAAACTGTAGTCGTCCTAATAACATCAGTCAGCCCTATCGTATCCGCTATCAAATGTCGATTGTGCAGAATACGGCATCCCTCCACAGATCAGCTGGTATTGACTTTCTCATAAGTTGTTGGAATTTGATTCAATAAATTGGCACCTGATTTCCTTGTACAGAGGAGCTTATGGCAATATAGTTAGTTGCTTCGAGTATACTTTTCTCCAAACACATTAGGTCATTGTGAGCTACGGCTTGGCTGCCATATAATATACAGTCATGCTAATATTTCTAAGACACTCCATAACCAGGTATGGACCAAGGCAAATAAGGCAAATTTAACAAATTACAGACGTTACGAAGCCAGCGAAAATCTCCGACATGGTATCTACGATTGATTTTGTGTACCTTCAGCATAAAGGCTGTCGTGGCTGTCGAGAATGTCACGTGCCGTAGCTCCATGAAGCTCCGACGATCGGTGATTGAACTTCCCGACACTCGAGATCCCCTATTCCTGCACTACATCCTTGTATTATATGTGCGCAACAACTCCCGCGGTGATGAACGCGCCTTTGTTTCAGTGTCATCTCTACTTATTACTTTGAACCCAGGCCCCAGGTTCCGTTTGCACGAGCCTCAATCGCGTTGAATTGTGAGGTGACGTCTGGATGTCGGGACACCGTGAGCATTTCAGAACCGATCCCATTCGTTTATCGACCACCCAATAGTCGCAGCGTCACACCACTTGCAGCGTTTCGAACTCATCACCTAGAAGACGACCTGGATCGTTCTATCATTACATATCCCACCATGAATACCTCATCACTGATCACGATCGGTCTCGCGATCTCGGTCGTGTTCATGTTCTGGACCCTGTCTTCGACCACGTCGTCGCCATTTGCTGGGGCCTTCCCTCGCATCTACAACAAACGGATCTGCTTACTGATTGCTCACCCCGATGATGAAGCCATGTTCTTTGCGCCTACCGTTCTGGCCCTCACCCAACCGGAGTACGGCAATCATCTCAAGATTCTCTGTCTTAGTACAGGTACGGCTTCCCTGGTAGACTCCTCTCATCAACAAAAAGCAAGCCACTAACTCTTCATTCTGTTGTGCAATCTAGGCGACGCAGACGGGCTCGGACACATCCGCAAGAAAGAACTCGTGAAGAGCGCCCTACAACTGGGCCTGCGCAGCGAATCGGACGTCTACGTCGTGGACGACCCCACTCGATTCCCTGACAGCATGACCGCGCACTGGACGGAGAACGACGTCGCCTCGCTCCTTGCGTCAGCGTTCGCGCCGGAACCATCGAAGAAGTCAAGAGGGGCGGCCCCGACGGCGACCATCGACGTGCTCGTGACGTTCGACCAGGGCGGCATCAGCAATCACCCGAACCATCGATCCCTGTACCACGGGGCTCTGCACTTCCTCCGGACGCTGGTCAAGGACAAGTCCGGGTACAATTGCCCGGTCACCCTTTACACGCTGACGACGACCAACCTCGTGCGCAAGTACGCCGGCGTGCTCGATGCGCCCTTCACCATGGTCCAGGGCGCCTTGAGCTCGATCATGTCGGGCTCCGGGGCCCGCGGCTCCAGGGATCAGCTTCCTTCTCGGCTTCTCTTCGTGAGCTCCGTCAATGAGTGGTTGACGGCCCAGTCGGCTATGGTCAAGGCCCATCAGAGTCAGATGGTGTGGTTCCGTTGGGGTTGGATTACGATCGGGCGCTATATGGCGGTAAATGATCTACGGCGAGAGGGGATCTGAGCGACAGCTCGAAACTATATACTGGGACGTCTGAGGATGCGGGCCGCCATATAGATATCTCGATCCACACACGCCTGATACTCGCCAGGCCAGATGACTTCTGGAGTAGTGGTCCGTCATCAAGATCGATGTCTCAGGTATGACGCATCCGTGGTATGTGAAGACTTTGCCGATAGTCTCTTCTTTCACGAACTAGGCTAAGGTGATCTTAAGCAGGAAACAACTTGTAACGTGTCACTATGGACCGGGTAGTCTGAAAAACGCTCAAATCACATGCACCGTGAATTATCATACAGCCCAGACCAGTACGCAAAGGACTAGCTTGCTGAAGATTAACGCTAAGAAACGCTTCTGAAGCCTAGGAAGAACGAGCTCCTAAGCAGGCCCGATTTTCAGACAAGGCGGCGAGTTCGCTGTAGGACTCAGTGAGAAGTTCTACATAGCACTGTGTTTCAATTGCTGCTCAACATGGTTGATTCGTCTTCTGCGGGACGATACTTCTCCAGAACCGGCTCGAATAGTCGCTTAAGGGATGCAGATGTTGGCTCGATATCTGGCCCGAGACGCAGAAGAGCTTCCCAGAAGAACTCGTCGTCAAGATAATTGTCCTCGTCACCCGGCTCGACATCATTATAGGGTGTGGGTCGCCGAATCGGTATTCGCTTTCCGCTGTAACGGTTCCGGCTACCCCAGCGGACTTTCCCATTGAAATGCACTATTCCGCCACGAGTGTTCAAGTGGAAATCCTCCGGGAGGAAGTCGCGCCACTCTTCCAGCGCTCTGGGGAACAGCGACCTAAACCATGCAGGATTGTCTCGACCCGTCCACAGCTTGTTGATCAGCATGTTTCTTGCGAGCTTTCTCACCAGCTCAGTCTGTTGGGCTGTGTGCAGTCTGAGGATATCATAGGTGTGTATTGCGTTGGCCAAGTCTCGCGACTGCCAACTTGCGCGGCTTCTATGTAGCCTGCGCCGCTTCATAAACGCCGCGATGGCTGACCTCGCCTCCCATCTCCTTCGACGTGTCTCCATCAGGGTCTCATATGAAGCATACATTTGTGGCATGTAGTTCTTGAGAATACGACTGTCCCACGCTAACTTAGCGATTTTGAGGCGTGCCTCAATTGTGGGGTGCACGTTGTATGGCTCTGTGGTCATTGTATCGAACAGTTGAGTCACGAAACGTGGCTTTACCCTCGTGTGCGCCTGGTCCTCGGCGTCGGGGCCGAATTTCCGACGGGACAGGACAAACGTCCACTCGAACACTTCAAGCCAAACCTTCTCGGGAATGGGTATATTGTATCGGCTTGCGATGAATTCCACCAGATGAAGTGCAGTTTTAATTTCGTTATTTGTTCCGAAGGCGTGAGCTACCGCGAACAGAAGTCGACCTGTGGGATGAAGGGATGAAGCAGGGTCGGTGTGGTAGATATCGGATGCTCCCGACTGGTCGCTTGCCGTCAACAACTCGTCGACATCTATGTTCCAAGCGGCTTTCAGAACAGCCTTGATCCCCGGAACCCAACCTGTGCGACAGGATGCAAGCATCATGTTGACAAAGGTCGTCTCATCCGGCGGGATGGATTTGTCCATCATCTCCGCGAATATCACTCGTACCGACTTGAGCACGCTGCGTGCTGCGGTGCCATATCCCGACCAGCCTGAATCGATGGGCGCATTTTTTCGCATCTTATACGAGAAACGGGTCACTCTCAGGCGATATTTTCTCATCCCGGTAAACGTCCCGTCCCAGATCAAGGCCTCCATGAGATGATTATAACATTGGGTATCTGGCTCCACATTACGATCTTGCATGGCCTGCCATGCGCTGTGTGCCATCTGAGCATCCCCCATGGCGGCTGCGCAAGCGAGCAAGTGGGTGAACTCCGCCAGGCCTGGACCTTGCCCTGTGGAAACCCTGAGACGAATTATTTGTGCGAGTTTGCTGGCGAATTCGTCGAAGATTTCCTGCAATGGCTTGATATTCATGCTCCGTTCCGCGGTTGGATGGAGCGCTCGAATAATCTCTCGATGGGGCTCGACGAAGTACGCCGGAGAGAGAAGCAGGAAGGCTTCGACGAAGGTGGTTTCTGGCATGGCTCCTACCAGGCTGCTGAATCGAGGGTCAGTGAGCGCATGCATCACCAAGTCCGGTTGGCCGCTCTGAAGAATCGAGATGAACTCCGTTTGCAAGGTGTCTCGTAGTGGATCATCGCGTTGTTTCTCTGGGGGACTGTCGATGTCCAGCAAATCCGTCGTACTCTTTATCCCGTGGTGACGGAAGTCGTACTTGTCCAAGCAGTCTTCCTTGACAATTGGCTTTAACTTCTTTCTGGTTGGCGGCCTAGTCCAGACTCTCACCGATCTCGACGGGCACGTAGGATTCCGAACTATGGGAAGTGGAGACGGATAGCGAAGCTTGGTTGGCCGAGAAGGACGATAAGAGGACAAGACCCCCAAGCGAGTACAAGACAGGCGATCACTTGGTTGTAGAAATCGCAACATCGCGCTTAAAAAGCGACAAGAAAGGAGAATGGCTGAGATAAAACATGGGGTCAGATTCCGGGGAAAGAAATGAGAAGAGGGGGTGGCAGGTCAGCTAATATTCATAATTCAATCATTCAACTGTTGCGGAGTAAACTGAGGAGTCGGCGGTTGTTGTGGTCTTGGCGGGGAGCAAAGAATCCCTGCCAGTCTCTTTCTTTCAAACATCCATCCATCCAGTCAACGTTCATTCATGTTCCCGCGGGTGACACTTTGACAGTCGCACAGTCGCCCAATCCATCTCTCCCCCCCCCTGCTGCAGCTCTTTCATTGATTGCTTGAATCTTGACTGGACGCCTCCCGACCTTTAGCTTGCGTTCACTCATTTCGTCTCTCCCTCTCCGCTCCCCTGCCCCCTCCCCTCTTTCGCAATCCTCCCGCCCCCAATCCCTCCTCCACCTCCTCCCTTGAAATGGCCGACACTGAGGATGCGGGCACTTCGTCGGTGTCCGAACCCCTCGACCTGGTGCGCCTGTCGCTCGATGAGATTGTCTTTGTGAAGTTGCGCGGTGACCGTGAGCTCAAGGGCCGTCTTCATGTAGGTCCTCCCCGTATTGTGCCTAGCAAGGTCAATTCGAGGCGACTAACTGGTATTAATTCCGCGCTTGCGATAGGCCTACGATAGCCACTGCAACCTAGTCCTGGGTGATGTGGAGGAGACCATCTACGTGGTCGAGGAGGACGAGAACGAACAAGAGACGATCCGAGTACGTCCACTCCCCACTGCCTGCAGGGCCCGACACGGTGTCGCTGCTGGCCTTATTGTTGCTATTGCAGGCTAACACACGTCCTCCCTTTTTCAAATCTAGACGATCAAGAAGCAGGAGGAAATGCTTTTCGTTCGAGGTGCGTTCCATTCTCTCTCATTCTCTCCCCGATGACGTCGGCTACACAGTTTTTGCGCGCGACGTTTCGACTAACGTTCCTGCCCATAGGCGACTCGGTTGTTCTGATCTCCCCTCAAGCATGATGACATGAATTTTCCGAGTGCAAAGACAAAAGGACCAATGGATTTGATCGGAGGGCGCTTGGAAGGCCATGCAGCGTATACATCTTCTCGCTGCTACCCCATGTCGGCCACGGATCAGTATGAGACCACGAACTACCAGGCGATGCTACAGGGTTCCCAGACGTATAACTCTAATTGCAACCAATGAACTATACACGTATATTCTGGGCAGATGGTAGAGGTGGGAAAAGGTCGTGTTTCAGATCAGGACGGGGCAGGACGGGATGAATAGCATCATGCCATGCAGCAGCAGCCGCAGCCACTATTCAGGAGGACAAGTTCTGGCATCTACCCTGGCATGCAACTTAAGTAATGATATGTGGTAATTGTGCTGAATGCAAAAGAATCCATATGTACACATGCACCCGTCAGCTGGAATGCTTCTAATGATTTCTTCTCTATTCTTATGACTCGACTGCAGTCAGGTATGAGTATGAGAGTGGGGGATGAGTCAAGACAGCCGCACGAGGCGGCGCGATGACTCGCACTCCGTCGGTGGCCGATTATCGATAAAGCTTTCCCCGGGTCTCCCGTCCATCTCCATCACCCTCTTTCCCCTTCACCTCTCTCAATCTACCTAGCTTCCATCAAACACCCTATTCTTCCTATCGTGTCCTCTTCCCATCGGTCATCCTTATCATTCACTCGATAACTACTGGCCCAGTCCTTCGACGCTCTTCCACCTAGCTATTCAGATGGGAATTATGATCACCCGAATAGGTGTTTGAGTGCGCCAGAGGCGAACCTTGTCCGTTCCATCCGACCGAAACAATTCGCATTTTAGCTACAGATAGACACACACGTATTTGATCCATTCTTCCCAACATACCGTTCTTATCTTTATTCCGGCGACGAAACACAAAAAAGGGAAAGCCTACAACCATGCCACCGACGGGACCGAAACTCACCCTGGAGGAGCGACGGAGAGGCGAAATCGTGCGTTGTTTGTGCAGTTTTCCGCGCAATTCCCCAGCCCCCTGCTTTTTCGTCTGTCTCACACTAAACCCGGTCTCATGCGCAGGCGCTCAGCGAGTTCGCCGAATACGCCGAGAAGCAGCAGGCCCAGCGCTCGGCCCCGCCTGTGCCCAGCGACAGTGGATATGAAACGGCCAGCGTGTCTCGCATCCACGAGGACCACGCCGAGCTGGACATCCTCGACCAGCTGGCATTGAGCGACACGCCCAAGACCGTCAAGCTGAAGGAGGTCCTCCTCGGCACCGGCGAGCAGCCCGACGACGACCTGCAGGTGCTGGCGAGCCTGCTGCAGTCCCGGATTGACGAGGGCCACGGCGAGACGCTCTTCGACCTGGGCCTCGAGGACGGCGGCGAGTCGATGCAGTTCGACCTGGCGCAGTGGCACACGGCCATCCGGCGCCTGCGCGAGGCCGCGGACACGCTCCCCGCGCACTGCCGGGTCTTGGTCACCTACAACGTCGGCGGGCCCGAGGAGTCGCGCGTCAAGAACGAGCGGATCAAGGGTTCGTGGGGGAAACTCCTGATCCGGCAGCCGGCGGGTACCGTGGAGGAGATGGCGGAGATCCGCGTGGCGGTGGTGGGCAACGTCGATGCCGGCAAGAGTACCATGCTCGGGGTCCTCGTGAAGGGGAACCTGGACGATGGGCGCGGCAAGGCCCGGCTCAACCTGTTCCGCCACAAGCATGAGATCGAGAGTGGCCGGACCAGCTCCGTAGGCATGGAGATCATGGGGTTCGATAGTCGCGGCGATATCGTCAGCAGCTCCCAGGGCCGCAAGCTCTCGTGGGAGGAGATCGGGAAGCGCTCCGCGAAAGTGATTGGCTTCTCCGACCTGGCGGGCCACGAGCGGTACCTGCGGACGACGGTCTTTGGCATGCTGAGCAGCAGCCCCAACTACTGTCTTCTGATGGTCGCCGCGAACAACGGGCTGATCGGTATGAGCAAAGAGCATCTGGGCATCGCTCTGGCTCTCAACGTGCCGGTCATGGTCATCGTCACCAAGATCGATATCTGCCCGCCCCAGATTCTCCAGGAGACGCTGTCCCAGCTCAGCAAGATCCTGAAGTCGCCGGGCGCGCGCAAGATTCCAGTGTTCATCAAGGACATGGAGGAGACCATTAACACGGCGACGCAGTTTGTCAGCCAGCGGATATGTCCTATCTTCCAGGTGTCCAACGTGACTGGAGAGAACCTCGACCTCGTCCGGACCTTCTTGAACATTCTTCCCCACCGGGGTCACTACAATGTTGATGCTCCGTTCGAGCTCTTGATCAACGACACCTTCTCGGTTCCCCACGTGGGTACGGTCGTGTCTGGGGTGGCCAAGTCCGGGGTGATTCATGCGGGTGACACCGTACTGGTCGGGCCCGACTCGCTTGGTCAGTTCACTACGACGACGATCAAGTCCATTGAGCGCAAACGGATCCCGGTGAATGCTTGCTTCGCCGGCCAGTCTGGCTCGTTCGCTCTGAAGCGCGTTCGGAGAAAGGAGGTCCGCAAGGGCATGGTTGTTCTCAAGAAATTGGACCAGGCCCCTAAGGTCTACCGGGAATTCGTTGCAGAAGGTATGTTGGGTGTCTACATCTTTTTGTCGAGCTGTGCCCGTACTGATGTGATGCAGTGCTTATCCTCTCCCACGCCACGACCATCAAGCCACGCTATCAGGCGATGCTGCACGTAGGCGCCGTGAGTCAGACCTGTTCCGTCATCGACATTGATCGTCCATTCATTCGGACTGGAGACCGTGCGTTGGTTGCATTCCGGTTTGTCCAGCGCCCCGAGTTCCTCGCCCCGGGAGATCGGGTGCTTTTCCGTGAGGGGAAAACCAAGGGTCTGGGAATTGTCAAGAGCGTTGGCTATAATCCGAAGAACCCTTTGAACCCCGAAGCTAAGAGCGCAGGGGACGCGGGCAAACCGACATGATCCCAGCGTGTATATCAGATCGAAACTATCGGCGGACTTGCGACGGAATTCGCCACGACCATTAGAGTGGCCGAGTGGATCGAGTCCTTGCAGCAACGCAGGCTTTTTTTTTTAATTTGCATGTTGATTCGCTTCCTTGATAATCAATCAAGGTGTTTTAATTGCATCGTGCGGGTTAGTTCGGGCTGTTTTCCTGTTTTGACTGGGGGGGGGGCGGTTGGCGGTTGATCTGGCTGGGTGTTACCCCAAAAGTAGCTTCCACATGAGCAAAGAATGTGGATGAGATGACACATTCTTCGCCCGCAGTTATACTCATACCTTAAATTTTCTTTCGCAATTGACTTTGTCGTCCTCCACCTTATCTCCAATTTCTGGGTTGATTGTCCGGATATTGACCAGTTGGCCACGGTTCACCTCGCCACGTGAGAAGGACATCGGATGACGTCAGAGAGAAGTGATGACATCGCGGCCGATGATCTGCGATACGAAGTAGACCAAGTGAAGTTAACTGGCCACCCAGCTGTCACCGAGCCACTGACGTACCAACCTGGAGCGGTGCTGGATTGGGTGGTCGGATGTTAAACCCCCCCCGGATTTGACTGAGCTGAGATTTAAGAGGTGGTGGTTCCACTTTCAGCTACTGTTCTTTATACTGAGTACCTACCGCCATTCTGATACTTCACTTAGGTCGCACAAAGCATCACACACAGACACTTCTCAGCTCTCGTGCAACATCAATCCGACTTACATGAATTCCACTCCCATCTAGAAAGAAGCGTACCCAAAATGGAGACTCTGAACCGCACCTTCAAAAACGCCACCACCGCCCTCTGGAACGAGTTCCAACCCGGCGAACAGCAACAGCTCCAACCGCACGGCGACGAGCCCTTGTCTGGAATCCAGGGGAAGGGCACAGCGACTGATCCGTACGATGGCGGGAACCGTGATGGTGAGTCCAGTCCGACTTGACTAGACACGGCAGGAAATCCGCACACCGCATCCCCTCTCCCAAACTCACCCTCACCTCCCCTCCCCCGGGGGCTCAATACACGCAAGAACTAACAGAAGAAGAACAACCCGGCGCCCCCCACACAGAAGCCAATACCGCCGTGATCCCCGAGCCCCTCGTGTCCGTCACGGGGGCCTCCGTCCAAGACCACGCCAAGAACCCCAAGTCGCCCAGCAACGCCGACGTGGCGTTGAAGAGTGTCATCGTCGACGAGCCCCTGCAGCAGCGACAGACCCAAAAGATGGAGACCCCCGACCCGTTGACCGCCGCCGCGCCCACGGCTGCTGCCGAGGCGGCCGGCGCGCCGAGCAGCGGGTCGCATGGCGTGAAGCAGTTGGCTGCATCGGGGGTGGGGCTGGGCAAGACGCAGGTGTCGAGTACGGGTGGGGTGTCGGAGCAGAGGGGCAGTTTGCCTGTTTCATCTCAGAGTATCGCAGCTTCGAGGGGTGAGAAGATGGCCGGGGGGTCTGGAGCTGCCGCTGCCGCTGGAGCAACGCTCGCTATCCGGGAGAAGGAGAAGGAGAAGGAGAAGACGAAGGATGAGATCCTGCAGGAGAATAGGGGACTCCCTGCCCCGGAGGGCATGGGGCCTGAGCAGAAATCGTCTTCCACTGGTACTGCAGCAGCTACAGCCGGCGGCAGCACCGGCACCGGCGCCCTCCAGACCCGAGACACGCCCGCGACCATCCCCGACTCCAGTATCTCCGCCGACGATAAGGCTTATAGTTCATCTAAGGCGAAGCCCACCACCACCACCACCTCCTCCGCATCTCAACCCCAGCAGCAGCAGCAGCAGCAGCAGCAGCAGCTCAAACCCACCACCTCCAAATCCACACCCACAGCCACAAAACCCACCAGCGCAGCAGGTGCAGCAGCATCAGACACCGAATCCGTCGGCCCCACCAACGAGACCAAGGAAGCCCGCGACTTGACTGCTACTACTTCCCCTACTGAACACCAACACGAGGCAGAGACCGACACACTCCCCCGCGGCAATACCAAAATCAGCGAGGAGGCGCTCAAGGGCCCGCACACCCCGGCGCCGCGCGAGCCGTTCGAGTTCGAGAAGCGGCTGGGGTCGAAGGGGGGTCCTGCTAAGTCTGGTGCGTATCTTTCTGGGGATTGGATGACTGGGAGTGTGGGTTACTGACTTGTGTATAGATGCTGGTGCTGCAGCTGGAGGTGGAACCGGAGCAGCGGACGAGGCCGAGAAGCACGGGAAGGGCCATGGTCAGGGCAAGATGGCGCATTTGAAGGAGAAAGTTGGGAAGGTGTTGCATCATGGGAAGTAAATGGGAGTTTGAGGTTGGTGAAGATGGAGATGGGGGCCGCGTATGATATCATGTCCTGCTACTGCTTACTCGAATGTATATGATGGGTTTGGGATTTCGGGCGTCTGGGTCTGGATTTATTTGTACTAGTATGGGGTAACTTATGCTTGTGGAATGGGATGCAGGTTACATTTATTTTTTGTTGTTAGTCGAATGGCGAGAAGTTGAATCAGCCTATGAGTATGAATAAGCTCATTGAAGTATGCATAGTGACATTAGTTCTACACCTATCCTATCCAACAAGCCCGAAAATGCAATGGTATCATGTTCAACCCCTACCCTACTGTTCCTCCACTTCATCTCCCCCAAGCACCAGCACCGGTACCTAGGCTCCAGCGCCAGCACCAGCACCAGCACCAGCACCAGCACCGGGGCACTCACGTGCCCAGGCACTTACGCCAATCTACTCAAACAACAACCGCAACTCCTCAATCCGCTCCTTCTTCTTCTCATCCTCGGACCCATCCCCGCCGACCCGCAAGCCCAACGACCCCGCGATGTTCATCTTCCGCTCCTGCACCCGCAGCATCCGGCCCTCAATCGAGTCCTTGACCACGAACCGCGTCACCGAGACGTCCCGCAGCTGGCCCATGCGGTGCACGCGGTCGATCGCCTGCGCCTCGATCGCGAAGCTCCACCACGGGTCCATCATGAACACGTGGTTGGCGACGGTGAGGTTGAGGCCCACGCCGCCGGCGCGGAGGCTGATCAGGAGGACGCGGGGGTTGGGGGTGGATGATGTCGAGGGTCTGGAGTTTCGCCGGGGTTTGGCGCTGTCGAGAAAAATGTCCGCCTCGTCCGCGACGTCGTCTTCCTCAGACAGAAACGTTTCGGTCTGGTTGAACTGCGCCAGGGTCTCGGCCCGGGCTTTCTGCGGCATCGTGCCGTCCAACCGCACGTGCGGGATCCCGGCCCGCGTCAGTTGCGGGGAGATGAGATCCAGGAAACTGGTGAACTGGGAGAAGACGACCGCTTTGTTGTTGGCGGGGAGGCGCGTGATGTGGTTGAGGAGGGAGTGGATCTTGGCGGAGGTGTGTGCGGAAGGGGAAAGAGGGTTGATGCGGCGGAGGGAGATGCGCGGTGGTGGTGGCGGTGCTTGCGAGCTAAGCGGTGGCGTGCTGTTGTATAGATCTGTTTCCTCGGTCGTGGGCGTGGGCACCGGGGACTGCGACTGGGACTGGTGCCGAATTACCTCGAAGATGTCTTTGGAGGTGACCGGCGCGCGGCAGGAGAAGCAACGCGGTGGTACGCCTTTGTCCGTCTGGTGGCGGATATAGTCTTCGAGACATTTCTTGCACGCACTGTGCCAGCATGCTGTCACGGCGGGGTCGATCATGGGCTCTTCAGAGCAGATCGGACACTCCCCGCTGGACTCGGTTTGGATCTGTCGCAGTGCGTGCGAGGTGAATTTGGCTTGAGAGTCTTGGGCCTGCTCGGTGCCTGCTGCTTCGGTGGTGGCTTTGAAGCGGTCGATTAGCTCTTGTAGGTCCATGTCGTCCTTGAGATCACTGGCTCCATCGGCGGCGGCGGCGGCGTCTTCCTCGTCGGCCACGATCGACTTGTTCCGCGTGAGGATGGGGTGACAACATGTCTGACGGAGACGGAGAATCTGTGCGAAAATTGTCGAGTACGACTTCAGTAGGGTGCCGGCTTCAACATTGCTGTTGAAGGTCTGCTTAGCGCGGGTGTAGATTAGGTCGTAGATCTCACGCTCTTGCTCGGGAAGCTCGACCTCTTCGATCTGAATCGTTCTCCGTGGCAGTGGTACCAGGGGCTCACCCTCAGGTGTCTTCATGGTCTTGGTCCGACGGAGGACCAGCGGCTCAAGCACTGTTTGTACGACATTCAAAGCGCGCACGTAGTCTTTCGACTCGAATGGCACGGTGATGAATGTTTTCCAGAAGGAGAAGTTGTTCCAGGGCTCGACCTTCAGGAACCGCACCAGACTGAACAGATCCTCCAACCGGTTGACGATCGGTGTGCCGGTGAGGACCCATCGATGAGTTGCGCTCAGGTCGTAGCATGCCTTTGCGGATTTGGACTGACGATTCTTGATCATATGAGCTTCGTCGATGATGATCCGAAAGAAGTCCAGAGAGAACAAGCCGCCCGAGCCCATTTGAGACAGGACGGTGGACGTATGGTGACGGTGCTCTGCGAGTACGACTCCGTAACTCGTGATGATCACGTTGGGCGCAGCGGCATTGCCTGCAGCACACAAATCTCGGAGGTTAACATTCTTTTCCGTCCCATAGTACATCAGGACCTTCATCGACCCGGGCTGAGAAGCTTTCAATGATTCACTCTCCCACTGCGCAAGCAGTGATGTTGGTGCAATGACTAGGGTCGTATAAGGGGCAAAAACCCTGCCAGCAGAGGCCTGTGGAAGCCTCACCAAGCCACCAGAACTCTGTGGCTCATTCCTATGAGCATGGACCAGACTTAGCATCTCGATGGTCTTACCCAGACCCATCTCATCAGCCAAGATCCCACCGAGACAATGTTGCTCCTGCTTGGGAAATTCGAGGGTCAGCATCCCAGAGTACGGATTGACGTAGAAATGGTCCACTCCTTCCACCGCAGGCAACTCCTTGTCATCCACATCTTTCGTCGGCCAAGAATATTGTTCCCACAGAGGATGCAGAGACTCTTCCCTTGCGGACTCCTTGTTCTTTTCCTTCGCCAGCATCCAGTACAGTGCTTGTCGCTGATACTTCCGCAGATCCATCGTAAACGTGGACGGAGGATGCGCTTCTGGCATACTGAAGTCGAACGACTGAGCCTTCTTATACAGCGTGTCAAGCTGATCTTCTTCCAGCTCCGGGGTTTCTTCCTCTTCCGACGAGTCGTTGTTCGACTGATTCTCTTTCTTGACCCGGTCATACTGATCGGCCATCTCTGCTGCACGCAGCAATCCCTCTTTTTTATGCTTCCTGGTCATATCGTTGATGGAAGTCGGCTGGAGACCGATCTCATCGAAGAGCTTCACCAGCGCCACCTGACGGAGTCGCAGTTTCTTCTCTGCGACGCTTTCCTTCTCCTCGAATATAGTAGTCGACCTGTTGTCGTCAGTGGTGTCATCGAGAATCTGAGGCTGAAACGCTTCGATGCGCAGATAACACCACAGCTGCAGATAAATCGTGTCGTTCACGCGGATCCTGTCCGGCGCGAAGACGCAGACCCCCTCGAGCTTGCAAACCTTTTGGTCGATCAGAGTCGATACCCATTCGGCCGTTTCCCGAGGCAGGCGCCCGATCTCCTGGCCGGATTCCGTCGTGAACCGTGTGAGAACATCGCCCTTCTGGTTGCTGATCATTTTGCCCGTGCGACCCCGTTTTGCAACGGGTTGGGACCGCGCGCGCTCGATGTTGACATGGTCTCCATGCTTGACGAGCCCCACGCCACTCCTCGTAGCCCACGCCCCGACGCCGAATGCGCCGATGTATCTCAGCTGCGGCTGTGACGCCACTCGTGAACTGGCTTGATCTGTGACGGGTGTCCCGTTCGAGGAGACCGGCGGTGGACGGGTGGTGGGAGGAGATGGTTGCGCGGGAAGGGTTCGCTCGCGGGGTAGGAGTGTGGTCTGGCTCAGGGTGGCAGTCGGAGGGCTTTTCCAGGATCCGTCGAAGAAGATGTTCACGGCCCGTTCGAGGTCACCACCGGCTGCTTTGCGAATCTTGATGAGGGTGTGTTCAGGGACGTCTTGTCCAACTATGGCAAGGAAGGTGGCCGTATCAAATCCGTCGTCTGCGTTCTGTTGCTCTGAGATTTCTGCCCCCAGATGGGATGGTGGCGAGTCGTGCTTCGCGGGAGAAGCCTCTTGATGAGGGACCGTGCTGTGGTTTGCTAAGCCCACAGGTGAGTGCGACGAGGTCAGGGTAGCATCTTGGATGTCTTGAGCAACGAATTCCTCGTTAGAGCCCTTCAACAGGGTCGAAGCCGGTACTTCAGAAACCGCAGCAGTGAGACCATCGCTGGCTGAGTGAGGAGTCGAAATGTCCTCATCGTCGGCGAAAAACCGTCGCTTCTTCAAAGGTCGTCCATCGGCATCCTGAAAATGCATCCTGCATCTATCATCCCCCCCTGAGTGTTGCTATTGAAGGTGGATTCCAAAGTGCCTGGGGCAGATAATCCACTTAAGCAGAAAGAATGAGACGCGCCGAGACGCGATTTGCAGGTCGGCCCGACGTCATTTCGTGTTCCACCCGCTTCGCCCAATAAAATTTGGACTAAATCGGCTTGCTTCAGCTTAAGCTTAATCTCGGACAGAACGAGATTCGCCTTACCAGAAGAACTGACAATGAGCCTCAATTGACGTGTAGGTGATGCTATCTATTTCTGTCGGCTTTTAATTGGACTTCGAACTGACCACGCCTGCGAAGGAACAGTCACATATATGCAATGTGCCACGGCAGCGATAGACGACCTCCGCAATAACTACATCTAACCAAAAATCCCCACCCTCCTCCACCCACCCGCACCGTCCTAGCTAGAAATGTCTCTCTCCAACAAATTCATCCGGCCATGTCGCACAAGCGAGCAGATATGCCGCCGGTCTCTGGCTCGCACGCGATCACAACGCCCTCAAAAGCGCCACTTCCAGGGTCGATCACCCGCAGCGGAAGCCGAAGTCCAAGCTGCTCAAGCCTACTGCTCAAACCTCCTACAGTACGAAAAGCTCCTTCTCCTTCCGCTTCCCAGCCTGGCTCTCCTCTAACAAGCACCTTCTCATCACAATCAACAGAAAATACGATAGCCCGGCCTACCTCCTGCACACCTTCATCCCGCAGCATGCGCGGCCGATGTACTTCGCGCTGCGCGCCCTCAACGTCTCCCTCTCGCTGATCCCGGACACAACCTCGTCGCACACGATCGGCCTGATGCGGCTACAGTACTGGCGCGACGCCGTGACCAAGACGCTGGCGGGCCGCCCACCGAAAGAGCCGATCGCGATCCTGCTGGCTGCGGCGATCGAGGACCTGCACACCCGCACCGGCGGCGCCGCGCGCATCAGCAAAGGCTGGCTGACCCGGCTGATCAACGCGCGCGAGCAGACCCTCACCAACGACCCGTACCCGACTCTCGCCGCGCTCGAGGCCTACGCCGAGAACACCTACTCCACCCTCTCCTACCTGACCCTGTCCGCGCTGCCCATGACCTCCGTCACCGCCGACCATCTGGCCTCCCACGTCGGTAAGGCCGTCGGCATCGCCGCCGTGCTGCGCGGCTTGCCGCTCGTCGCGTTTCCGCAGCAGCAGCAACAGCAGCAACAGCAGAACCCTGGTGCCGGAGTCGGGCAGTATAACAACAAGCAGGGCGCCGTGATGCTGCCGCTGGATGTGATGGCTCAGGCCGGGTTACGGGAGGAGGACGTGTTCCGGCAGGGGGCGGAGGCGCCGGGCCTGCGCGACGCGGTTTTCACTGTCGCGACGCGGGCGAACGACCACCTCATCACCGCGCAGCAGATGTTGAGCAATCTCCGCGCCGGCCAGGATGTGGGCCACGAGTTCGAGCACGAGGGCGAGGAGGGCCATACGTATGAGCCATCCCCGGACCAGAACCAGCAGCAGCGCGCCGAGACGCCCTTGGAGGAGGTGAACCGCGCGTTCGGCGTCCTGATGCCGGCCATCCCCACGCGGCTGTGGTTGGCCCGGCTCGAGAGTTTCGACTTCGACATCTTCCGCCCGGAGCTGCTGCGCTCGGATTGGACGTTGCCCTGGAAGGCCTACTGGGCTTTCAAGCGCAAGGCTTTGTAATGGGATCGCGCAGCCGTGTGTCAGGTCCTGACTAGTCTATGTAATATATGTACTATTATTGTTTTGACTTGCACCATTTACTGCCCCGCATGTGATCGTGTGAGCTTGATGATGTTGGGTCATGCTATGTAACACCTGGGGTTCATTTATACAAGGAAGGAATCTTTGCAACGTAGTTATTCTAGTTGCACTGCACTATGGGTATCCGAGCAACAAAATGGAAGAATTTAACTCTAATGCCACGGGGTCAGGTTTTTTCCGTGGCCTTCTTCCTCTGTCGCCTCTTTCTGGAGCTGGTGATGAGTCGTTTCTGCGCGAGCAACACCACGTAGCGCTGGAGTTTGTCGCGCCTGGAGAAGCCATTAGTATTGCTTTTGGGGAGATCAGGGAAGAGACAATCTTACATCAGAAACATGGTGGTCGCAAAAACGAACGGAACGGCGATCATCCAGAAATATCTAGGGGTTGACGTTAGTGTCGAGGTCAGGGGGTTTTTGGACTGGATGAACGCACGAATCGCTGTGATGAATGCCAGAGAAGTCATCAAAGTTCATTCCAAAGTAGCCCTACAGGATGGGATCAGTAAAGAAAATCTCGTGGCAGCCACTTGCTCCAACATACCGTCAAAAAAGTCAGAGGAAGGTAGAAACACGTCACCAGTGTGAGTTGCTTCATGCTCTCATTCTGATATGCACCTGCAAAATATTAGCTCGCGCTCAAACCTCACGTCGTGTGTTCAAACTCACCGATGGTGTTGAAAATCAGATCGATCATGTTATCGGCAGCCCTTCGCATTTGGTCGTAGCCTTCGACAATCGTGATACAGTGATCCAGTGCATCACCCAGATAGGTATGGCATAGAGGACTAATCGATACGCTCGAACCACCTAGGCTTTTCAGATTTGGCGTGGCGGTCCCGATGAATGGTGTCCCGTCGCCTGCAGGGCTACTCGTACCAATGTTCTTGAACGCTCCTAGGCCAGGAGTATGAATAGGTTCCGAACGGTGGTCTCGCAGTGCGTTGATTATCGTGGCGATGGGCTGCATGAAGTTCCGCAGAATAGCAATCTCGGACGTGAGGACGTAGAGACTCTTAGACTGATCAACGTCAGGGTCGGTCAGAACCTCCAGTTCCAGGTCACCTATGGCATCCTGATAGGCGGTCGTCACAGGTATGGCAAGGTCAATGATAGCGTCTAGTATCGCCTGCACAATCATACTCGCGTCGCACGACTGGCGTAAAATTGTCTCCGGGGAGCTCAGTCGCCTCACGATCGGGGCTTCGATATCGTCTGCACTGTTCTCGAAGAACGACGTTACAGTGTTGTCTGAGTGAAGGAAGATAGACACCTGTTCGAGAATAACACACAGCCGTTTCGCGGCCAGGATGGCGTGACGTTCCATGAAGGCAATCCGCTCTTCGTTCGGGCCGCCACGAAGCCGCTGAATGCTGCGTGGTGGGAGTTCATTGTCCAGGTCACTCAGACCAGACGCTTTGGAAGCAGCCTTGCCTAGCCCACTGGACGTGCGTCTTCCAGTACCATCGCGATCAGATGACTTGGGTCTAAAGATATCCTTCAAAGCCTCCAGGATCAACGTGCGTTTAGTGGGCCGTTTCAGTGAAATTGTGCTGGCCGTGGAGCTCTTGCGATCGTTCGTCCATGGGCCGTGTCCGCCATCGCTGCTATCATCCGAATCACTATCCTCATCATCATCTTTGAGCTTGATCAACTTCTGCAACTTGAGAACGATATACGCATGATCAGAGTACCAGTCGACCTTTGTGCGGTTAGTCTCGTTGATCAGATCCTCGATTGCAAGCCGATGCAGGCATTTGTGGTTTCCGAGAATTCGGATCACATCCCAGCTCAGCCCGTTCACGTTGATCCACCGACATTGCACCCAGGGCTCCCTCTCGCGCGCAAGGAAAGCTTCTAGAGTGTCGTTATCGAGGATATATTGGCGCATCTCATGTTGCGAAAAGTCCACGACGGAGATTTCGCAACGTTTGTACAGGTCGGCGGCAGTTGCAGCCATCCACTCGGCATTGTAGGCCGGCAGCGGTTGATTTGGATCAATGCCCGGCTCCTCGCCAGGCTGCCAGTTCTGGTCATGGGGGCCATCTTCGCGGTAGTATGAGCGCGCGGTGGTCGAACGCCGCCTGCGAATCCTGGCAGTGTCCCGCGAGTTGAGTCTCGCAGCCGTGGTAAACGCGTCCGGAGACGGGGGCGCCCGCGTGGTCGGCGAGATGGGTGGATCCTGAGGGCGTGGATTGGCTTCGATGTCTTCTACCTGGTGAGAGGTTGATGGTAATTCTGCGGTCTGCGCATGGTCAAAGGAATGGACACTCATGGCATCCAGATTACGGCCTGGCTGCGTGGGCTTGGGTCAGTGGAGAAGTTCTGCATTGAACATGGATTGAACATCCACGGTAAATTTGAGACACGGAGAACAGAGTATGCCATAAGTTGATCAGCCTGAGATGATGGTTGTCGGAATCCTTCAAAGCCTGGAAATCTCGGAGATTTGTAGGATTTGTAGTGATGGTGTGCGGCAGGTGCACGGGGCATTTGCACGAAAGATGCCGCCCGTAAAGGGGATGCCGCATCACCGCGGGGAAATGACGTCGACTCGGTCATACCATTCCGCGGACGATACATTCTTCAGGCATAATTTAAACACTCAGTATTACAGTGAAGTCAGTTGGGACTTGATAGGTAAGAAGAAGACTGAGGAGAATATTTAAGGAAGCGTAGTTCGTCAACGTCAACTAATTAAAGATTTAAACCTTGCAAGGTTCATGCAATTTCTCTTGGCTACAGTGAGCATATTTCTTGGCTTCTTTCTTTGCTGTAATGTTCCACCACTCGCCAGCCCGCTAAAAAACAACGAAGAGTTCGAATGCGATTCCCGTCTCCTCGATGGTCTAACGAGGGGCCTCTCTCGCATTGTGTGGGTCAGAATCATAGTGCTCATCTTTAAGGACGCTGCCTGAGCGTCTTGCACACTCGACGAGATTGCGAAAGCTCAAACCCCATTTGTAGGTTTCGTTGCAACAGCGAAATGTAGCGAGATCATCATTGTATGCTTGCTGTGAGAGAGGCTCCGATCGCCCTAACCTGGGCTCCTTTGGTGCCAAGAAGGCTATGGTCGCCGCTACTGTGTATAGCCACGGCAGTTCCTGCTCACTGCACCATGACATGTCGTAACGTAGCAACGTCGGTAGTCGTCAGATAGTTTTCATTATCAAGTTCGGTGGCGAGATCGCAAGGTCTGCGCGTTTTGATACTCCGCCCTGAGAACATGCCGGGAGTTTCATACTCCGCCCTGGTCACTCGCCGGGCAAAAGCTCTCTCATGCAGCCGAAGTGTTCCCTGTGTTTCTCTTACGCCGCAGCAGCTTTATCTGCAAAGGTATTAAATGTCGCTTCGGGCCTGCGACGTCGTTTCGTGACAAAGGCTTTCGGCACACCGGGCAAGTGCCTTTCGGCGATTTACTGGTAGAGTCTGATCGTTCTTCGCTGAACTTTAGTGTATCGGTGATGCATTTGTGACAAAAAAGATGTCCTGTACAAAGTTAGCTTAAACCGTAAACTTTCTCCCCCGCCAACCTGGTGTTGAAACTGAAATCCAAGGCCATACCGCACACAGTACTGGTAGCATCCACAGGAGTGTCCATACACACGGGGCACTTGTAAGCGGCAAAGGTTGATTCTGCGTTATTTTCAAGCGATTGTTGTGCAAGGATAGCATCTGCACGCTGCTTCGCCTGTGTTTTCGAGACTTCCGACACCTCTTCGGTCTCGGTCAGATCGATAGATGCCGCCTCGCTTGACTGTCCGTCAAGCTGGAATGGAGGGGCTAAGCGGCGTCGCTTGGGGTCTGGGGATTCCGTCGAATGGTTGCTTGGGCTTGTTGGTGACGAGTCTAAGGAGTAGCGGCGGATATCCATGATCAAGACTTTAGTTTCTAGAAAACAAAATCAAGAGAGTGAAGGCAGACTGAATCGTCTCAGTCAAGCGTGGCGGAGAAGATCTGCTGCCACTGATCTTATCGGGATTGGCGATAAGCGGCTGCTACCTTTGATAGGAAGGCGGTCGCAGTCACGGAACATCGATCTTCCACTATTTCTCATCATGACGCCGAAATCCCCCAATAGGAAAGAAAAGACGATCGGCCCTCCTTGTGAGCCAAAAGATTATCCCCAAAGCTCGGTCGCACTCTTCATTGCGCAGCATCGGCTGCGACATTTTAAATCGTCATACCATGGACTGATCTATATTACTTTATCCGCTTGACATCATGCTTTGGAGTATTCCCTGCGCTCCCTGTCGCAGGGATGCAGCTATCTTTTTTTCGCAGAGATTGCGCTCGTCTCGCATCCCCCGGAAAGGGACATTACAAGTATCAAGATACCTCGCTACTCAATCAACCACCAATGAGTCTGATAGGAAGAGCGCGGATCAGGGCTCACTTTCCGGTAACTCATAGCTCGGATCTATAAATGTGTCAGAAATTAAGTACTAATGGCGCAGTCCCCGCTCTGGCTAGGTTTAACGAGATCGGAGTTCAACAGCTGAGCGACCATGTATATTCTCAAGTATTCCCCACGAAATCAGATCCTCCCGACCCAAACCTTGTCGCCTTAGCAAAAGAACATCTATCCAGGCATGATTTGCTCGGAAAATCCCAGGATGCCACCGAGCCCGTTGCCTTCGATATGCCAGCCCTCCAAGGACAATCGCTAGATGAACATTTCTTCAAGCTAGGAATGGATTGCTCAGACCCGTACCTATCGCTTGCGAAGGAATATATCACTGTCAACTCGCCAGAAAAGCCACGCAAATGGGTGAACCGCAGCGGGTGGACGAAGTATAATTCCGACGGCTCCTGGGAAGCCGTGGATGCACCCAACGAATCGATTCTGACCTTCGACACCGAAGTACTGTACAAAGTACATTCTTTTGCGGTCATGGCTTGCGCAGTTAGTCCTACGGCTTGGTATGCGTGGATTTCGCCTTGGCTGCTGGGAGAGACGGAGAATGAGATTCAACTGGTACCTCTCGGAGACCCATCAAAGTCACGTATCATTGTGGGACATAACATCGGCTATGATAGAGCTCGCGTGCTTGAGGAATACGACATGAGCCAGACTCGCAATTTCTTCCTCGATACAATGTCTCTACACGTTGCAGTCAACGGGATGTGTTCACAACAGAGACCAACCTGGATGCGTCACAAGAAAAATAAAGATCTTCGGGACAAGATCACCAATGAGAGCAACTCTGTGGAGTTGGCAGCCTTACTCGAAAACAAAATGCTCAGCGAAGAGGAGGAGGAACTCTGGATCGGAAGAAGTTCGGTGAACTCGCTTCGAGATGTGGCTAAATTTCATTGTGATGTTACGATTGACAAGTCACAACGAGACTACTTTGGTGAACTTAGCAGGGAGGAGATTGTGGAGAAGCTGGAGGAATTACTCGACTATTGTGCAGCAGATGTTGCAATCACCCATCGTGTCTACAAGAAGGTCTTCCCGAATTTCCTTGAGGTCTGTCCGCACCCCGTTAGCTTCGGGGCTCTGAGGCATCTCTCCTCGGTGATTTTGCCCGTCAATCAGACATGGCAGGAATATCTCGTCAACGCAGAGGCGACATACCATCAACGACTTGAGGATGTCCAAAAGAAAATGGTCGAGCTGTGCAACGAAGCTCTAAAAGTCAAAGACTCTCCCGAGACATACACAAATGATCCATGGTTACGGCAGCTGGACTGGTCTGGCCAGGAGATCAAAATGGTCAAGGGAAAAAAGAAGAACGATCCTCCGCGGCCAGCCGCTAGGCAAAAAAAGCCGGGCATGCCTAAGTGGTATAAAGATCTTTTCCCGAAGATCGATGCAGACATCAACCTCAGTGTCCGGACGCGAATTGCCCCGATTCTTCTCAAGCTGTCGTGGGATGGCTACCCTTTGACTTGGTCTGACAAGCACGGATGGACCTTCAAGGTTCCTCGCGAACATGCGAAGAAGTACGACAATCAGCCAGTGGTGATTTGTGACATGTCGGAGGAGAAGATCCTCGAGCTCAAAAATGACCGGAAGCATGCTTACTTTAAGCTGCCACATAAAGACGGGCCCACAGCACGATGTGTGAATCCCTTAGCGAAAGGCTACATGCAGTATTTCGAACGTGGAACTCTTTCATCCCAGTATGCCCTCGCTAAGGAGGCTTTGGAGATGAATGCATCCTGCTCATATTGGATCAGCGCTCGTGACCGCATTACGAGTCAACTGGTGGTTTACCAAGATCAGGTGCGAGATGTGGAACCAACCAAGACAGATGAGACTCGTCTAGGTTTCATTCTTCCCCAGATTATCCCCATGGGTACTATTACACGAAGAGCCGTTGAAAATACCTGGCTTACTGCAAGTAATGCGAAAGGCAACCGCGTTGGCTCTGAGCTGAAGGCCATGATCAAAGCTCCACCTGGCTATTCTTTTGTCGGTGCCGACGTGGACTCACAAGAATTGTGGATTGCGAGTCTCATTGGAGATGCTCAATTCCAGATTCACGGTGGAAATGCCATCGGCTTCATGACGCTGGAAGGTTCCAAAGCTGCCGGGACGGATATGCACTCGCGTACCGCTTCAATTCTGGGCATTTCTCGCAACGACGCGAAGGTTTTCAACTATGGACGTATCTACGGAGCCGGAGTGAAGTTCGCGGCTACTCTGCTGAGACAGTTCAACCCATCGATGAACGAGAAGGAAACACAGGAGGTAGCGAGTAAGCTGTACAAAGAGACCAAGGGCACTCGGACGACCCGGCGCCTTATCAGTGATACTCCGTTCTGGAGAGGTGGCACCGAGTCATTCGTGTTCAACAAGCTGGAGGAGTTCGCTGAGCAAGAAAGACCGAGAACTCCGACGCTGGGAGCAGGTATCACGGAGGCATTGATGCGGCGCTTTATCAACAAGGGCAGCTTCATGACGTCAAGGATTAACTGGGCCATTCAGTCCTCCGGTGTTGATTATCTGCATCTGCTGATCGTCGCAATGGACTATCTCATCCGGCGCTTCAACATCGCTGCTCGGCTAGCGATCACCGTGCACGATGAAATCCGATATCTCGTCAAAGATGAAGACAGATACCGTGCGGCCCTCGCGCTACAAGTGGCGAACGTTTGGACCCGTGCTATGTTCTCGGAGCAAGTTGGGATCCACGATCTCCCCCAATCTTGCGCCTATTTCTCCGCCGTTGACATCGATCATGTCCTCCGAAAAGAGGTGGACATGGACTGCGTAACCCCATCCCATCCGCACAAGATCCCGCACGGCGAAAGCTTAGACATCGT